ACTGTAACCAGCAAGTATTATTATTATTACTATTATTATTATACAGGATTTATATAGCGCCAACAGTTTGCTCTGCGCTTTACAATATAACGGGAGACAATACAGCAATGATACAGTTCAATACAAGAAAGTTAGGAGGGCTGGTGGTACAAAAGGTAATAATTGTGGGGGATGGACTGGTTGGGGCAAAAGAAGTTTCAGTTATTAGCTGAAGGCAGGATAGGCTTCCCTGAAGAGATAGGTTTTCAGAGATCCCCCAAAAAGTGGGCAGAGTAGGCGATAGTCTGATAGATTGGGGTAGAGAGTTCCAGGGGATAGGGGAGGCTCTGGAAAAGTCCTGGAGATGAGCATGGGAGAAGGAGACAAGGGAGCTAGAGAGCAGGAGGTCGCGCGAGGAGCGGAGAGTTCGGTTTGGGTGATATTTGGAGACAAGATTGGTGATGTAATTTGGGGCAGAGTTATAAATGGCTTTATATGTTATTGTTAAAGCGGAGTTCCACTCACCCTGTAAAAAAATAAAAACTGTAGCTGATGACTTTTAAAAAGCAACCACTCACCTGTCCCATGATCCCGCGTTGCCCCCACCGCAGCCCATTTCACCGGCCGTCCTGTATTCCAGGAGGCCGGCATCTTCAGTGTGGGCACCTGGCTGTGACAGCTTGTGGCTTCAATGGCCCCGTCATCTTTTGGGACCTGTCACGTGTCCCACAAGACTTCGGGGAGGGAGGGTAGGAAGACAATTTCTGTTTCCGATTGCCTAGGCGGTCACAGCAGAAGTGGGAGCGGGTACCTGTCAAATTCATGTACCTGTTCCCCCCCCCCCCCCCCCCCAGCTCCCCAAAGGTGCCAATCCTTAATGAGGAGCGGGGGACCAATCTTTAAAGCGGAACATCCCCTTTTGGGTGGAACTCCGCTTTAATGTTTTGAATTTTATTCGTTGGGCAATGGGAAGCCAGTGGAGGGATTGGTAGAAATGGATGGCAGATATGGAACGGTTAGTAAGGTGGATGAGTCTGGCTGCAACTTAATGGTGGGACCCATCCTCATTCCACTGAGGTTCCCTTACTGCTTACAATCAGCATATTGTTACTTGTTGCCGCTGTGTTGTATTATTATATCATATCCATCTTTATTCCACTTTATCTTGCTCTTGTACCCATATCCATTGTGTGAGTGTATTGCATGTAAATTTTTATTGTGGAGGGTGAGGGTGTCTCTTTTTTGCAGTGAGCATTATTATGTTTATACTATTTTTGCATATTCAATAAAATTGTGTCCAATTTGTCCATAGCCACAGTTGGCCTCTTTTTGGGACCCCTTTTTGTGTAGGACTCTTCCTGTATAATAATTTTTTACTACTTGTTCATATTTCATGTCTGAGGTTTACAACCACTTTAAGTGGTTCTAAAGGTAGAAAGATGTTTACCTTAATGCATTCTCTAGCCTACATGTACTCGAGCAGCTCCTAAACTCGAGTTTAAGAGCCTTTAGCATTTTTTTGCCAAGGCTCCTAAACTCAACTCCATAAAAGCCTATGTGTCCATAAACTTCTAGCAGAGTTTAGGATCTGCCATGTTTAGGGGAGGTTAAACTCCCTCTTCTGAACGTGGAAGAATCGCGTTCAGGATAGGAACGTTTTTGACCGCAGACCACGGGAAAACGCAAATAGCAGCAAAACGCGGCAACCGTGGTATTGCGATTTTGCCTTCATTTGTGTTTTCCCATGGCCAGCGGCCAGAATAGGCTCGTGTACATGGAGCCTAAAGGCTCGTTATACGATGACATTCTAATAATGTCACAGCACCTCCTGCCTGGAGTTTGCATGTTCTCCCTGTGTCTGCGTGGTTTTCCTCCGGGTACTCCGGTTTCCTCCCATACTCCAAAGACATGCTGGTAGGTTAATTGGCTCCTGTCTAAATTGGCCCTATACAAGAACCTGAAATAAATAAATAAATAATACAATTGCTGTACAATCCACTTTAGATTTACTAAAACTATATAATGTTAGGACCTACCTAATCTATCCAATTAATTTTTATTTAATCAAGCAGACCTATATTATATTGGTTGATCTAAAGAAGATTGTACACACACATTGTAACGATTATGGTGAGCTTTAGCTTTGCTACAGCAATCTGTGGTGGATCGCTTTTACAAGGTCAGCGCAGTCCAGTGGCTAAATGGTTAGCACTTCCGCCTGGCAGTACTAGGGTTCATTGGTTCAAATCCCAGCCACGGCACCTCCTGCCTGGAATTTGCATGTTCTCCCTGTGTCTGTGTGGGTTTCCTCCCACACTCCAAAGACATGCTGGTAGGTGAATTGGATCCTGTCTAAATTGTTCCTAGTATGTGTATGTATGAATGTAAGCTAGGGACCTTCAATTGTACACCCCTTGAGGGTTAGGGACTGATGTGAATGTACAATATATGTAAAGTGCTGCGTAAATTGACAGCGCTATATAAGTACCTGAAATAAATAAATACTTGGCAGGCGGCTGGGAATAGACATGTCACATCCTCACTGTTGTAAGCCTGTAGCACCACACTGATAGTGATCGCAGCACTTCTGTTTCACTTGAATGGATTGAATTTGGTATGGTAGTGATGACAGTATGCATCAGGAGGGTATAATTTTTGTTGTTGCCGCAAAGCATCACAGCCATGGAATGTCTGCAACGCCTGCCTATTTTTACCACCCCCTCAACTGCAAGTGTAAGGTAAGCCTTAGCTAATCTGGCTCTTGTCTAGTAGCACTGTACTGAAGGCAGTTTTGCACCCATCATCATTGAGCATTTCCCAATGCAAATCCCTGCTCACCTAGGATATCCGTCACTTAGTCACTACACTCCTCTCCACCTGATCTGAACTGACAGCTCACAGCATCACAATGTAGCCTGAGGGATGTCTCACCAAGGATACCCCTGAATTCACCAAGTATACAAAGTTCTGTTCCTTTGTAAGCATTGTTATTTGTATAGTAACACATTATGTTACATTCACACCTCTACTGTCTGCACTTTTATTAGTGATGCTTCCATTGTGAGGAGTGCATGTAGATGGTGTATGAGATGATGTGCCTGGAAGATATACATGTGGAATAAAACAGGCAGTTTTCATTTTTATGTAGCCTGCCATACAAATGAATGGCTATACTCAGCTGTAATCTTGTAAATGATTATGCTTCTTTACACCGGCACTTACCTGCACATTGTCTTTCCTGAATGCAAATCTTCCATGTTCTGAAAAGCCACGGCCCTGCATGTGCGGGAACCATCAGTGTTTATATGAGTATGGCTGTACATACAGTGAAGGAAATAAGTATTTGATCCCCTGCTGATTTTGAATGTTTGCCCACTCACAAAGAAATGATCAGTCTAAAAATCGAATGGTAGGTGTATTGTAACACTGAGAGACAGAATAGCAACAAAAAATTCAAAAGAAATGCATGTCTAACAAATTATGAATGCAATGAATGGGATGAATGCAGGAGAGTTTGAATCGCTGTTGTTCCATCCCCCAAAACACAAAAATGCAGCTCCTCAGGGCTTTACACATGCTGTGTTTCGTGTCTATGGCGAAAATTAACTGGCATGCTGTATTCGGTGGGTGGCACCACTACTGAATGTGACCCTAATGAAGCATAAAGTTTGTCTGAGCGGCATTCTAATAAGCGGCTAGAGGCGGTTGGACTGTAGTGTCCAGATGACTCTAAATTCACTCTGTGTGTGAGTACAGATCTGTCCGTAGCTGTTCACATGGGGGAGTTTCTCTGGGAAGCTGGGAAGAACTGCAGATTATCACCAATGATCGCTCGTCTGAATTAGGCTTTAAGAAAAATTGAACGAAAATTTTCATAAGAGGAATGATTGGTCAATAATCTGTTCGCTAGTATAGTGGTTTTGACAGCTGATTCCAACTGTTCAGACAAAAAAAAAAAAAAAATTAAAGTGTTACTAAGCCCAGGCCCTTGCATTCACTCTATCTGGTCTCCCACAGTACACAGAATATGGAAATGCAGTTAGTTTAGTAAATATAAAACTGCTATATACCTTTTCTCATCAGCAGTTAGAGCAGTCTTGTGACATCTGTCAGTGTCCAGCAGAGCACTGGTTAAAGCTTGTAGGAGGAGTTTTAATTTTGCTCTATCAGGATCCAGAACCCCTGACCTCTGTCTGGACAGTGCTGAGTGGCCCTGTTCTGATCACATGCACTTTCCCAAGAAAAAAAAAAACCTCTGTAGCAATACACACACCAAACTGAGCATGTGCAGAGTGACTCTAGTTGATATGTCCTATCGGAGATAAGATGGGGACACTGGAAGAAGGGGGGAGAATCAGAGACAGGATCAAACAGCATATTTACACAATGCTGAGAATTAACCCCTTAGGTTCCACAGTGAAATATAACGAATGCTTTACTGCATATACAGACTGATTTTACTGTTGTGGGTTTACTAACACTTTAAGGTGACATAACGCAAAATGTTTGTTCAATGTGTACAGCAATCAAACAGAAATAGTCGAACAGAAAACACAGTGCAGAACGTTCGTATTCTGGATCACTAAAGAGCTACAAACACTGAACAGTAGCACGTTTTTTCTGTGACAATAATCACGCTACTTTTGCTCACATTTGCCTTTGTCATTCAAGAATCTTTGTACAGTTCATATTGTTCTCGGTTACATCATGAAAAGTTGGACGATTGTTCATCCGATTTTCTCATAGAGTGTACTAGGCTTTATACTTCAAGATCATTTCTCCTGTGTTTAAATCAATCAAATTCATTAGCTTGCTGTGAATGTGGACAACTTGTTAGGTGTAGAGTGAGTAGCAGAAGATGATTTTACAGCCATGAGTTATATGGTGTCCCAGGAACAGACAGATGACAGCTCCTTCTATTGATGTGTCAGCCACTCCCAGCACTGGGTGTAATGTGAGGAGGAGGGAGGTGCACAGGGACTCCTCCATCTCCAGATCATCATCTCCTCTCTTCTGCTGTGTGCACAGCCGGGGACAGCTGCTGCTCTGAGTCCTCCAGGTGAGAGCATGAGCCTGACTTCTGTCCATAGATTCAGCAGGGGGTCCATGGCTGGGATCAGAGGACCTCTGCCTATCTCTGACTTGGATTAGTGATCCTGCTGCATGTTTGTAATAAACTCTTGGAGGGGGTCTCTGATCTAACTTGGATTTAGTGATCCTGTATTGGAGGTGATCTCTGATCTGACTTGGATTTAGTGATCCTTTACAGGAGGTGATCCCTGATCTGACTTGGATTTAGTGATCCTTTACAGGAGGTGATCCCTGATCTGACTTGGATTTAGTGATCCTTTACAGGAGATGATCCCTGATCTGACTTGGATTTAGTGATTCTGTATTATAGGTGATCTTTGGTATGGCTCAAATTTAATGATCCTGTATTGCAGGTGATCTGTGATCAGACTTGGATTTAGTGATCCTGTATTGCAGGTGATCAGACTTGGATTTCATCCGATTTTTTCATAGAGTGTACTCAAGCTTTTACTTCTAGATGATCCTGTATTGGAGGTAATTTCTGATCTGACTTGTATTTAGTGGTCCTTGATAGGAGGTGATCCCTGATCTGACTTGGATTTAGTGATCCTTTACAGGAGGTGATCCCTGATCTGACTTGGATTTAGTGATCCTTTACAGGAGGTGATCCCTGATCTGACTTGGATTTAGTGATCCTTTACAGGAGGTGATCCCTGATCTGACTTGGATTTAGTGATTCTGTATTATAGGTGATCTTTGGTATGGCTCAAATTTAATGAACCTGTATTGCAGGTGATCTGTGATCTGACTTGGATTTAGTGATCCTGTATTGCAGGTGATCAGACTTGGATTTAGTGATCCTGTATTGGAGGTAATTTCTGATCTGACTTGTATTTAGTGGTCCTTGATAGGAGGTGATCCCTGATCTGACTTGGATTTAGTAATTGTGTACTATAGGTGATCTCTGATCAGACTTGGATTTAGTAATTGTGTACTATAGGTGATCTCTGATCAGACTTGGATTTAGTAATTGTGTACTATAGGTGATCTCTGATCAGACTTGGATTTAGTAATTGTGTACTATAGGTGATCTCTGATCAGACTTGGATTTAGTAATTGTGTACTATAGGTGATCTCTGATCTGACTTGGATTTAGTAATTGTGTACTATAGGTGATCTCTGATCTGACTTGGATTTAGTAATTGTGTACTATAGGTGATCTCTGATCTGACTTGGATTTAGTAATTGTGTACTATAGGTGATCTCTGATCTGACTTGGATTTAGTAATTGTGTACTATAGGTGATCTCTGATCAGACTTGGATTTAGTAATCCTGTGTGGGCTGAGATCTGACTTGGATTTGGGAATTGATCTTTGATCCTCCCCAGTTACACCTGGGATTTGGCATTATCTGTAAAACGTATGCATGCACCTGTCTTTGTAGATGTAGCAGGTGCTGTAAGATTCCTCTATACACCGTCAGTGTGATTGGGTTTGGGGAAAGTTAGCCCCAGACTGCAAATGTGTCATCAAATGTCAAAGTTTATAAGAAAAGAAATCAAAGACTGAAAGCGATCATTTTGAATTTGATTACTTTGTGTACTCTGCAAATGTCTTGAAGAGGATGCAATTTCACAACAGCTCTGATTGATTAATAAATTATCGATAATGGCTCCATTCATTCAAAATATCAAAGCAATCATTTAGTGGAAAGTACAGCTTGATAAAAAGCAATAGAGTTGTCATCCTCTCTGTATCACAATACCCCCCTCCCCATATAACTATGGCCACTCTCTATACATAGCTGCTGGTAAATCTTCAACTGTCCATACAAAATCTGATTGTACAGTAGAGCTGACCATACACTATGCTATCTGTTTGTACAATCTCCTTTTAGATTTACCAACAAGTTTGTATTGAAAGAGATTCCCTTATTGCATACACAATGATTGGGTAGTTTACTAGGTAGGTCCTTCTGTTACTTAATTTGGTATATTTCAAGTTCATTGTACATAGATACCATTGACGGATTGTAACGTGTATGGTGAGCCTAAAGGGGATTGTGCAATCAGATTGTGTAGTATCTGGCCAGCTAGGTGTACTAAAATTGTAGCAGAAGCCTAACTAAACAATCCTTTCTATTTGTATCCAGTCAGGTGGGCACCTATGCTACATAGTTGTTGATAGATCTAAGCCTCATTTCACTCATTACAATGTGATTGTACAATCTCTCAAATATACCAACTGCCACGTAGTGCAAGAGTCTGCCTGACTGGATTCAGATTGATTGGATAGATTAGGTAGCTTCTCATATTACATAGTTTGGGTAAATCTAAAGTTGATTGTATGGTCAGATTGTAACATGTATGGTGGCCTTAAAGGGAAGTGTACCATCAAACTGCAAGATCTGATCCTAAAGGTTACTATACACAGATTGTTGAAGTTGCCAACAAGGCACACTCATAAGTTTCATCAGAATAACATGCAGTTCTCTAATAGAAAATGCACAATGACTAAAAATCTGCATACGGGGAAGCAGTGTTTTATTTCCATACATAAAGTCATCCAGTCAGCAATGTTTTTTAGACGGTAGAAGTCTCATCGCCAGTAGCGCAATCTGCACCTTGTCACTGTTCATTGGGCTTTTATGTTCTTAAATACTGGAATGTACTTCTTTATATCTCATTCAGTTTTTGTTTAATCCTTTCCCGTATCTGTCATTTATATCAAAGCATGCCTGCCAGAATGGTGTCTGTACAATGTGGAGGTGGTGATCACACCCTCAGTCAGTCAGCAGGTGTACTCCATTTCCTGCTCTAAGTCGTGAGATTGGAATGTATGGGATTGGCATTCACACTCATCATCTCTCAGTGTACTCAGAATTTCCACCAAACACCCACTTCATTCTGGACAGCATATAGGAATCCATTGCACAGACCATGCCCACCTGTCATGCCGATCCTTTGCCCTCAATATCTTCCAGGAAAAGGATGCAGATTACAAGTTCTAACATACACTATATTGCCAAAAGTATTAGGCCAGCCCTCCAAATCATTGGATTCAGGTGTTCCAATCACCTCTATGACCACAGTATAAAATCCAGCACCTAGGCATGCAGACTGCTTCTACAAACATTTGTGAAAGAATGGGTCGCTCTCAGGAGCTCAGTGAATACAAGCGTGGTCCCGTGATAGGTTGTCGCCTGTGCAAAAGTCCATCTGTGACATTTCCTTGCTACTAAATATTCCACGGTCAACTGTTAGTGGTATTACAACAAAGTGGAAGCAACTGGAAACAACAGCAAATCAGCCACAAAGTGGTAGGCCATGTAACATGACAGAGCGGGGTCACCACATGCTGAAGTGAAGTGCGCAGAAGTCACCAACTGTCTGCAGAGTTAATAGCTAAAGACCTCCAAACTTCAGATTAGCACAACAACAGTGTGTAGAGAGCTTCATGGAATGGGTTTCCATGGCCGAGCAGCTGCATCCAAGCCTTACATCACCAGGTGCAATGCAAAGCATCGGATGCCGTAGTGTAAAGCACGCCACCACTGGACTCTAGAGCAGTGGAGATGTGTTCTCTGGAGTGATGAACTGCGCGTCTCTGTCTGGCAATCTGTTGGATATGTCTGGGTTTGGCGGTTGCCAGGAGAATGTTACTTGACTGACGGCATTGTGTAAAGTTTGGTGGTGGGGGGATTATGGTGTAGGGTGGTTTCTCAGGGATTGGGCTTGGCCCCTTAGTTCTAATGAAGAGATGTCTTAGGGAGTCAGTGTATCAAGACATTTTGGACAATTTTATGTTCCCAATTTATTGGGAACAGTTTGGGTATGGCCTCTTCCTGTTCCAACATGACTGCGCACCAGAGTCCTGACCTGAACCTGATAGAATACCTTTGGGATGAATTGGAGTGGAGACTGCGATCCAGGTCTTCTCGTCCGACATCAGTGCCTGACCTCACAAATGTGTTTCTGGAAGAATGGTCAAACCTTCCCATAGACTCCTAAACCTTGTGGACAGCCGTCCCAGAAGAGTTGAAGCTGTTACAGCTGAAAGGGTGGACCAACGCAATATTGAACCCTGCGGACTAAGACTGGGATGCCATTAAAGTTCATGTGCGTGTAAAGGCAGGCCGACCAATACTTTTGGCAACAGTGTGTGTGTGTATATGTATATGCTATATATGTGTGTGTGTGTGTGTGTGTGTGTGTGTGTATATGTATATGCTATATATGTGTGTGTGTGTGTGTGTGTGTATATATATATATATATAATATATATATATATATATATATATATATCCACTTTAAGACCAGGCCAATTCTGACAGCTTTTGTTTACATTTAAAAATCTGTATTTTTTGCTAGAAAATTACTTAGAACCCCAAACATTATAGGACAAAGGCCCTAGAGAACAAAATGGTGGTTGTTACTGTTTTTTATGTCACACAGTATTTGTACAGTGTTTTTTTCAAAAGCAATTTTTTTTGGAAAATATACACTTTGATGAATTTTAATGCACAATACTCAATTGTTTGGTAAAAAATATAAAAGATGAGGCCACACCGAGGAAACAGAAACCTAACATATCATGCATTAAATTGCTCACACTAGAATAGCAACAAACTACGGTACTTAAAAATCTCTATAGCTGATGCCTTAAAAGCCTTTACAGGTGACCAGTTTAGAGTTACACAGGAGGTCTGGTAGTAGAATTGTTCCTGCTATAACGTTTGTGACGATACCTCACGTTTGGTGTGAACACTGTTTACATATGTGTGTGCAACCTTCATATGCGTTTGCCTTTGCTCATGAGCTCACAGGGTGCTTTACATTTTTTTTTATTATTGTTTATTTTATTTTATTTTTTTTTTTGTTACACTACCACTTTAATTTTTTTTTTTTAGCACTTTTATTGTTATCAGAAGGAATGTAAACCTGTAATAGCAATAGGCAGTGACAGATCCTCTTTATTGAGACAGCTGGGGTCTAATAGAGCCCAGATCTCTCCTCTTGAAAGCTTCGG